CAGGTAATAGATACTGTTTGGCATGGAAGCAGTATAACAATGTATTTTTATTAACATGCTTGTGATGCTGTTCTATTGTGGCCCCTTCTTGCGGCACAGTGTTTTAAAGAGACAAGCAACAATTATGGCCCCCACCCCTTCCCCTTTTTCATCACTACTACCAACTCTTATCTGCCCTAACAGGAGGCTAACTGGACATCAAGAGGAAGCTTTGTCCTGCAGTGGCACTTTTTGTCAGTTGTAAAACTTTAACTCGTGAATTACAAAGCCTGAAGTCTTCAGGAGACCTGTTTTGAGGACTGATGGGTGCTAACTGAAAGGTTGGAAGTTCTCGTCCATCCCAAGGCACCTCAGAAGTAAGGCCTGGTGATGCAGGTCCCCAACAAAGCAAGACTGGAAACCTTATGAAGCCTAGTTCTACTTGACACCCAGGAATTGTCATGAGTTGGAATTCATGCAAGGGCAACAAGTTTCTGTGTTGGTTTTTAGTCCTAAGAAGACCTCGACTGGGATGCAAAGTTACCTCCCCCACAATTACTTCGAAGGGAAAAGGTAGCACTTTCTGCTAAATGCCCTTGAAAGTACCCGAAGCACAGCATCCTAGAAGAATATTTCCTGCAGGCCTGGGGAGGAAGAGACACGAGAAGGGATGAATAAGGGAAAGAAAGCGGTCTCTCTTCATGGCTGCCAGCCACCAAACTATGGCGGTAAGTGAAGCGGAAAGAGGACCGAGGTGGCGAGGACAGACAGATGCCAAAGCTGACACACGTCATGGTTTTGCCTGCTCTGTCTCCATCAGTTGTTTTGTTCTGACAGCGCCAACATCCTATGTCTAGCAACAACCAAAACCAACATTAGGAGTGGTGTCCTTTAGGTACCCGGGCCAAAAGAGAAGTGTTTCAGGAGGGACGCATCTCCAGTCTTTCTCCTAGGAAAACACACCTCTCTTGAAGCTGTTTCCGGCCTTAACAGGTAAATTATTCACAGTGGCCAGAAGCACATTTCCCTTTCCTGTGAACGGTCTGGCAACTGAGTTCTCAGAGAGAAGTAGTCATCTCCCCCACACCTCATCCCTCAACAGCCCTGGGGGGATATTGAGTATGGATGTAATTCAGTCTCCTGTGGAGACCTTTAAATGTAAAGGAAGAGCATGAAAGGCGAAAGATTAAAATGCACCCACAGGCAGCAATCTGTGGAAAATGTGAAGAATTGGTGTCTGAAACTATCATTTACAGAACTCAGACCATGTATTTCTGGAGTAACTGTCCCGTGAATTAAGCTTTTGGCTGTGGATATGTTATCACTGGTTTATTAGAGACAAATGCCTTGGAATCTTAATGTTTCAGGCATTCCTTTGCAGTAACTTACTCATGATTAGACTTAAGAAAATGCGCATCATTCTCTCCAACCAAGAACAATCTTCCCACTCTCTCAGGCATTGGAAGATGGCTCGCCAGAGAGGGGTTCATTTGTGTCTATGTGTCTGTGATTTTTGTTCTTCGTGGTTATTGAATATCTGGTTCAAAAACAGGACTTCTCTTTTCCAAATGACTTAGCTCTCCTTTCACTTAGAGGTGAATCAAGGAGGTATTTATTGATGCTGATGATATCTCTGTCAATATAATGTTTAAAGAGATAAATATTAGTTAGTTCCCTAGGGAACGAGAATAAGTCCATTATTACTTTACCTTAAAGGAAGTATTGAGAAAACCTGTCTATGATAACCCCAGGAGAGACTTCCATTTTCTTATGCTTCTTATGTCACTCACATTAAAACTCTCATTTGCCAAGAAATAAATCATGTTTGCCCTAGAATTTCACATATACTTACTTCTCACAATCTTTATATTAAACATTTCACATGTATAATATAAAATGTCCCACCGTCCAACCATTTTGGACATTAACAACACACATTGAAGTGCACAGGGAGTCGTGCTGGTTGTGCTGATTAAGGCCATGTGTCAGTTTGTTTGGGTCATGATTCTCAGTGGTCTGGCCATCACATCATGATGTAATTTGGCAGGTATTTAATTATGTAGTTTGGTAGTTATGCAATGATAAAATCATCTCTCATTTTGTGATCTGATGTCATCATCCTTCATTTTACCTAGCTCTTATTTCTGCATAACAACCTGGTCTTTAGAAGCTAAGCATAACCATAACCATAAAGTAATTTGGTAAGTGAAGAGCGTGTTTACTTTCTGTCTGAGCAGTGTAGAAGAGCATAGTTCTGATCTTCTCAACTGCATTCAGACAGCTGTTGACTTTTTACTTGCTCATATTCCTACATTAATAAAACTGAGTGAAACCTATGCTCTGTTGCTCACCAATCCTAGATCCACATGAGACAACTCTTAAGGCTAGTACAGATTAGCTAAGGCAGGACCTGGCCTGCTGATAACTGGCTGGTAGATTTTGGGTCCGCAAAACACCCCTGGAAAACTTGGAAGGGAAAATAGGAAGAGTCTCTGTGTGACTGCAAAGCCATAACTTCTCTCTCTTCATTTATTACTGTCATCTGGATCCAGGCAAACTGACTCTGCATTCCCCCTGCCTGGTTAGAAGAGTCTCATTGCTTGATGCTATTCAGTTGGCTCTAAGGAGTGTAGAAATACATACGATGGGGCTTCAACTAGCGCATGAAAAGGGTCCATTATCTTTTCGTCCCATTTTTCCAGCCATGTGGCGAAGCCCCTTGTACATGTCCACGCAGGAGCTGAGTTTCTCTACGAGGCATCGCTGAGCATACAGTCTGATTTCGAGCACCTCCCACAGTTTCGGCCCATTAACCTAAGCGCAACAGCTTGATGAATTAATGCTTATATAGGCACAGTTGGCAGCTTCTAATTAAATAATTATGGCTAAGCAGCTGCACGGAAGCTGTAATGCACCCTAGAAAGCCAGCTGTCAATTTTATTGGTCCTGAGACAGAGGAAGAGTTAACACTTAGCTGTGGCTGTTGGATATACAGGGGCAATAGCTCATACCCAAGACGGCTGCTGTGTGGTGTGAGGTTCCTGTGTGTTTGTGTCAGCTTGGCCACCGGAAGATGCAGAGCAAGCTCTCCTGGGCAACGTCTCAGCAATCTAGCAAAGAAGGAAGCGTTACTGGGAGCAGGGGAGCAGAGTGTGTCCAGAGCAATTGAAAGAGGACAGGGTGGTAGACGGACGAAGCTATGGTGAACACACAAATGTCATGGCTGTAGCAGGCAGATAATGTCGGGCTCTGTGTCTCCTTCAGGTGAGGCAAGTGTTCAGAAATCTGGCTTTTTGTTCTTGCAAAAAAAAACACCCCCAGAGACATGTCATTGGGGACGGGGAATGACCAAAGGGTATGACTGGTATTATTTATTTATTTGATAGACACTGAAGATGCTGTATTTATTATTATGAAGATTTTAACCATGAGAAATTGAAGAACAAGGTAAATATCACAAACCTACCATTTGAACTCCCTCAAAAGGTGCAGTTGCCCAAAAAGTTTGGAGAATGTATTGTGCTTTCCAGAAGCACAGAGACCCAGCAAGTTTCCTCTATGGAAGGTTAGAAAGCTGTGTCCTATCTCTACACTAGTAGGAAAATCACCAGAAATAAGAAAGCAACGTCGGCAGCCAAGCTGTGGCACACAGGAAGATGTAGGTTATAGATAGAGGCCATCAAGAGAGTCATTGGACCAAATAATGTCTGTTATTACACATCAATATGCTACTGACTGATAGCTGATTTCTTTTTTTCTCCATAGGCAGTCCATGTATCTTCACTTCTAACTGTCAAATGTGTGATAACCCAGCACAGAACGCCGAGGCTTCCCACCAGTCTTTTCACGAAGGCCCTCTCTCAGGCACTACCTCCACAGGAATAAGCACCAAGAATTGGGCCAAGGGATTCATCCATACCCCCATGTTCAAAGTAGTTAGAGATTTGAGTCCTGTGAATTTCAGATTTATTTCAAACATATATATATATATATATATATATATATATATATATATATATATATGGGAAATCAAAGGCTCACACGCAGAAACCATATTTTTCTGGGATTCATGACCCCAACGCCCACACACGTTGGAAATCATTAGTCACACCAAGCACTGAAGGGACCAGTCAACTTGCTGTGTTCCCATCAGGGTGGGATCAACAGCTTATAGTTCATTGAAAATGCTATTTCATAAAGCAAGGCAATCTGTTCCATACACCTTGATTAAATGCAAATTAGCTGGCCACTAAGACACTCTTACTCTAAAAGCTTTTGCCTATTCTTACTTTAAAAGATTTAATACAATTCTTTCTTTCCTTGTCTTTTTCCTCCCGTATAATTTCCTTCTGAAATGCCAGTAATTCTACCACCTCAACTGTCTGAAGGTGTTTGCATGTGATTGACAAATCTCAACGATCTAGTTCCTTTTAAATGGATCTGAAACGAAGTTCTGCCTAATTAAATCTGCAGTGCAACACTAGAATCTCCGTGCAAAACGTTAAAGAATTAAAGAGCAGATTTGTAAAGCCTATACAGGCACATTTTAGGCCAGGGGGTGGGGGAGTGAGAAGGGGGTTGTTCTGCAGTCTGTACTGCCATCTAGCCAAGACCACGCTTTTGAGGGCAGCGTCCATTTGTTTCTGAGCAGCTCAGCAAAGCAAGTTACCAACCAGCTTACTTGCTCCCAAAGTTCATCTAAAACCATAGACAGCTGTTCCTGTGTCCACTGTGTTCCCACCAAACTCCAGTGGGCCAACAACCAGATGTTACCCATCTGTCTTCTCATCACAGTTTAAAAGCTGGCAAGCAGACTGTTTTTAGTCCACAGAGTATATATACGCATGTCATTTGCATCTTGTGCTTTTGAGGCCTTTGAACATTCTGTGACCTAATTGGGAAAATGAATAAAAGTTACCTTCAGAAAGATCATGAAAGCTGAAAGCCAAGCTCTAATACTCTGGAGCTATATCAAGACTGGAAAACAAAAACACAAAGAACCGGGATTCCTCCGACACGGACTAGGCATGCTGACCGTGTGCATCTGTGAGGAGAACTGCACACAGGGAAAAAGAAAAGACCCCCGGGCACTTACGGTAGAAGACGTACTCAGTGTAGCTTGACCAGATCTTGTCATCGGTGTACTGGTTGATGAAAGATGCTGTCACTGACGAGTTGCAGGCCACCATGTGGAATCCACAGTCTGACAACATATCAAAAGCCCTTTCCAGATGCTTGAATTTGAGATAAAATCTGGAGGTGTACCTTTCTGGGGCTCTGTCGGGGTCTCTGCTCTCATTCAAAGTTTCTCCAAAGACTTCCTTTGCCAAGGAAATCCTCCCACAAACCAAAATCCGGGGAACTCTCCGAAACTTGGCATCTGCTTGGCCCTCCCGGCCCAAAGTGCACGACCCCCTGTAGCCCACGGTGATGAAGCCCCACTTGCGGTCCGCAGGGAGCAGAGAGGAAGGGGGGCAGATCCTGGTGTCGCTTCCCTGGGAGGCGTCCTCGAAGTCACTGTGGCAGAATTCCTCTGGGCTCTGCTTGCTTTCCTCTGGGCTCAGGAGTTTGACCAGGTCCGGGAGCTGGAAGTACTCGGCTTCCCGTTTCAGTCTTCCTCGCTCTGGAAAGTGGTCTGGCAGGGCCACCTGCCTGTCCCTGAGATAGTCCAGAATGTAACGGAACAGGAATCCATCCCTGTCGATGAAGAACCTGCCCTTGGCGTCCTTGGCTAGATCGTTAGCCGGGTCTCTCTTTGGGGAAAACATTTTCCACAGGAGGGAATGAGGGATGCTTACTAGTGTGGAATGGCGAGTGAAGTAAACTTGGCCGCCGACATTCAGCTCCACAACCTCCGGGAAGGAGTTGGGCACCACGGTCCCTTGCTCTCGAGGATAATAACGACTACAGTTTCCACTCAGAGCCATCGTCCTGTTTGCCTCTTCTCCTCTTATTTTGATTGAAAGGTACAATCTAATGGAAGCACAGCCTTATCCTTTGCATCAGCTTGTAAGGGAGAAGGGGCAAGGATCCTAACTTGTAAGAACAGCCTCCTCAGATCGGAGTTTGTGTGTGGGGAGGGTTTTTTTGTTTCGTTTTGTTTTCCCAAGAAAGCAAAATTTAGAAGAGTCCACAGGTGAAACGATGTTGAAAAAGAAGTTGAAATCCTGGCTGGTGGTGAGCTATTACTTCATGGAAGACAGTCAACTCATCTACATCCAATCTTCCACCAAGCTCAGAGGCAAGACAGGCCAAGTCCCCAGTTACTCACAGGTCCGTCTGAAGGAAAAGAGAGAAAATTATGTCCTCAAACCCAGGATGAGTCAGAGAGAGAGAGATGGCTGGAGAGAGGAGAGACAGGAAAAGAGGGAGGGAATAAAGAAGCGAGGGAGGAAGAGATTATTTTACATAAGCAGCCCTGGAATTACTGCTTTCAGCCATCCTTCAACCCAATCCTAGCTTCTCTCTTGTAATTTTGTGTCCACATGCTTATCCATAGATCTGTCTGCAGCAATGTGAATAACAACATTTCGACTTCTTATGCTGCATTTAAAAGGCAAATGCAGTTGTCAACTTCTGAAGGGGGACCGGTTTGTTTTGTCAGCCGACAGGGAAAGCAAGAAACCAAAGAGCTTACCTTACAGAGAGTGGGAGGCCCAGTTCTTGTGAAGAAATACTCATTTGCAAAGCAATCAGAGTCCACAGTCACACTTGATCTTGTCAAATCCCCAACAGGTAAGGGGCAGCGGTATCAATGAAAAGTGCCGGAGAGACGTGCTCTTGGAAAACAATCGATGGTCTATGTGTGTGTTTATATTAATGTATGCATGGGTGATGTCTGTATTTATCATTCACTTCCAATCTAAGTTAAAAACAAGTCACATGAAGTTAAACTGTGATGAGAGGTGGTTGGATTGAAGAAGCAAAGCAGAGAGAAATATTTAACCAGCGCTTCTCCAGGAAAAAGGAGAAGAAGAAAAAAGCAAACCTTTAAAAAAAGGATCCTTAAAAAACAGGAGAGTTGCAAGAGGGACCAAGAGACTAGGACTTAGAAGGTTTTCCGAAAGCCCAGGACCAGAAAGGCAGACAGATGCGCTCTGTTGGGGTCCCAGGTAGCCACCCCACCTGCCGGCAAGGGCAAATGGACTCCCATGTTCCCAGCCAGGTGGGAGCTGGTCCCTGGCCGCAGCGCGCCGGAGCGGCGGGGGTTCAGGACTCCGGCTTCTCCCGCGGCGCGGAGCTGGGTGGTTCCACAGTTCGCAGCGCAGTTCGGATGCTGTTGTTTCAGCAGTGCAGGCAAGAAACCATCCAGGGAAATGCCTATTACATCATCTTAAAGGAATATGGCTTGGAGACAGCGGAGGCAGCTCGGAGTCACGTCCTCCTTGGTGACAGGTTGCCCGGACTGCGCGGGGACGCTGCGCTCGGGCTGGGGACACGCGGCGCCCAGGCGCTCTGGATTGGGGCGGGGACGCAGCTCTGCGCAGCCACTTCCCTCCCTGCCCTGCCCTGCCCTGCCCTGCTGGGTCCTGTCCGGTGTGGAGTCTGGAAACTCCACATGGCTCTTCTTAACCCTTTCTTGCTTCCGTGCCCGCCTCCTGTCTTGACCCCCCAGAATGAGGGAAACACAAGTGATTTTTCCATTTGAACAATCTAAGAGCTCTGCTCACATGAACCGCATAGGAATGGCTGCTGAAGGGCAAATTCTCCCTTTAATTTTTTTTTTTCAATCACGACGCTGAAAGACCCAATGTGCAAACCCCAAAGTCACCCCCCCCCTTTTTTTTTTTTAACTGAAGAGGGTTGAACCGTGTTCTCTTAAATGTCCTCCTGTCTGGTGTCTTTCCCCATCCTCAGATAGCTCCCTTCCTCAGGGCCCAGCCCCAGCAAAGGAGTAAGTAAGCAAATAAAGACACCTCTCTGCAATGAAGGATGCCCATTGAGAAGGAAACTGGAAGCCCTGCCGCCACAGGAAGCCCGTAGTCAGCAGGACAAGACCTACCAAGCGCACCAAGCCATTATCCAGGCTTACCTGTACAAAATGATTACCTTTAACCTTTTTTTATTCCTGGGGCTGTTTCCTTACTCAGCATCTCCTCGGACTTGCCCCTACCCCTCTCAACTCATCCCAAGAGGACCTGATGGAAGACCCGCCTGCTAAGAAGCCTTTTACCCCTGTCCCAGGGGACTGCTTAAGTGCATCATTAGACTTTCAGGAAGGCATTTCCAAGGCAACCCAATCCACTCACAAAGTGCTTCCAGTTGGGCCTGCCAGTCAGTAATGGCCCGGCCAACCGCTTACAGTAAGTCAGCCATTTCCCCCTTTACAATCACCAGTGTCTTAGGGTGCACATTCCTGATAAGAATATAGTACTTTATCTATGAATAATACATGTGAGGCACTCTACATCCCAAACATTTGTTATTTTAAAAAGATGAAAACCAACCACGTGCTTTGCGGGATACATGTGTTATTGCCAACTCTCTTCTCAAGAATTAGCCAGAGTTTCATGAGGATTTCATAAGGAAGATGACCCTGCGATAGGATAATTTCATATTTAGTTTAGCTGTCTTTTCTCCCGAAAGTATCCGGTTACTACACAAATTTAGAATATTAACTAACACTCCAACACCTGGTTGTGTTTGCCTTCGTTTCTTTTAACTAATGCATTAACCTGTTCTCGCCTCAATCATTGGGATTTTAATATTGGGCAAATGAAGGAAATAATTGTGGTTTGATGCAATTATATCTCCATCTAGTGGTAGTATAATGTCAGTGCAAGCCTGTAGTCAGCAATTTAAAAAGCCTACAGCTGCCCAGAAAAATGGATTCAAAGAGACCCCGTAGGACAGAGTAGACAAGGGCCCCCATATGGTTTTCAATCTTTGCCAAAGATTGAAAGATCGCTACCTGTTTTTTCTCGTGGAGAGGACAGGGGTACAAACTGCCTGGCTTTAAGTTAGCATCGGAGAGCTTTAACGACCATGCTATTGCCTCACCAAGTCTCTCCTGCGCTGAAATAAGTTACATTTGATTGAGCTATTGGATTACATGATATGTGAATTCTATGCTATAGCTGTTACAGTTTTTTAAGTTAGATTTTATCTCGTTTGTACATTTTGATAGTGAATTGAGTTCACTTGGCACACGCTACTCCTCCCAACAACAGAATAAGTTATGTATTGCCACTAATCTCAAGGGGGTGGTGGGGTGTGGGCAGGGGGATCTCAAATACTTTAAACTCAACTGTTTTATTTGCTTTTATTTCTAACACAGTAGGCCAGTGCACCATGACAATAACTTTGAATAAAAGTTTAATATGAAAATATTCTGAGGGGAGAAGGATGGAGTGAGAAATATAGTCTTGTACAGTTTAAAGGTATATGAAAAATCAGTCAACCGTCTCATCTTTTCGACAAAACATTAAAAGCCAAAAACCAGAAGACCGGAAAGGGAAAGTACTTCAGGCATGATGGACCAGGCCCAGCGGGCAGGGCAGGATCTAGAACACTGCCTCATCAGTGTATTCAATGTCCTTGTTTTATAACTCTACTTTTTCCTAAGATGTTCTGAGAATGGCAAGGGCAATGAATGCACACATGTTCTTTACACAATTGATGTATGTATGTATGGATTGTGATAAGAGTCGTATGAGCCCCTAATAAAACGATTTTTGAGAAAAAGAAAATGATGATGGCGGCATGTGTGCCAATATGCTTGACACATTGGAGGAATGTATGGATTGTGATAAGAGATGTGAGAGCCCCCAATAAAAAAATTTTTTTTAAGTGCAAAAAAAAATGTTACATGAAGGATGGAGAGGAGGCTGATAAAGGGGCGAAAAGGAAGGCCCCACTGTCACAGCACTGCGGGGTGTTTTTAAGCCAGTGAGGCATTTAAAAGGTGTTGAATATTCAGTTAAATGAGAAGGACAGGAAGTTCTGCATCTGAAAGTGTCCTGGATTTCAAAATGGAGAGCTCTGTTAAATGAGGAGCGCGGTTGGTCTGAGCTGCACAGGGACGAGAAGCTCTTCACCTCGTTTGTAAAAGGACTACTTGCCCCAGTGTCCTTAGTTTCATTAACCCTATGAAACCTTGAGGCTCAACAGGAAGTTGGAAAGCGATTCCGGTGGCAGGGTCCTAGACCATGTTGACTCATGACTGTGCCGCACCACTGGGAACGCATTCTAAATTCGTATTTGTTATAAACCTTGTAAAGTAACGCATGTGTCTCCCAGTCTGTTCACAGTATATTGTTAGTGTGCCAAAAGTGCTTGTGCAGAGTATGTGAGTTAGTTAATTGTGCCAACCTGGCCGATAATCACATGTGGGGCTAATTGAAAGGCGAAGGGATAAATGGGTGGTGA